TATTTCTTATGTATCAAAATGAGTAAACGTGAAATATATTGACAGTAAATGTAAATAAGAGAACTCGGACTTGTTCATTAAAAGCATTAAAGCAACCCAAAATCAAATGATTCATTCACACACAGCTCTAAATAACCACATCCTACAATTTGGACAAGTTTATAAAAACAAATTGTAACACGTTACAGTAAGATTTCATTTGTTAACATTAACAGGAACTAACAATGAAATACTTCTAAAGCATATATTAATCTTAATGGTAATTTCAACATTTACTAATACATTATTAAAATCAAAAGTTGTATGTGTTAATATTATTTAATGGGCCTGACAATGAACAGATGTATTTTTATTAACTAAAATTAACAACGATTAGTAAATACTGGAACAAATGTATTGCTCATTGTTAGTTAATGCATTAATAATGGGACCTTGCTTTAAAATGTTACCAAATGGTCTTCTATATTCCCATGCAATCCATTGCATGGCCAGTTTTTCATCATACTGTACCAGAATGTGTTGCATTATTTTATAATAATATTTTACGTTAATCTTACTGCATGATGCAAATGAAACATTTTTCGGACTTTTTCATGGCAATTAAACACATTTGCTGTTACTGTAATATAATTATAAAAAATACTTTCTTAGAGAATTTGTTAATTCATTTAATTTCCAGAATATTTTGATATTTTTAAAGCCATGTGAGCACCAAAGATTTTCATGGCAAGAACAGAATAGTTTAAAATTCACTGTAAAAAAATATTGTACATTTTTAAGTTAAAGCAGCACTATGTAACTTTTGGCGCTCTAGCGGTAAATAAACAGAACTGCACACATCCCGCGGAAGAACATTCCAACCGGAGCTACTTCTCTAAGTTTATGTCTATGGCGATTCACGCAGGTATGTGTTACTCCGCAGCGGTGACTTCCCGACCAGGCTACAATAGTCCAAATATGAGTACTTGCTATAAGTGTACCGTAGTGATTCGGAATAAGACAAAAACGCGGTTTGGAAGATGAATTCATGATGTACTCGCTCATTATATACAATTTGCAAATTTTGAACACAGAAAAAGTTACATAGTGCTGCTTTAAAAGACTGTAAAAACGCCATGTTAAAAACCTGTAAATTGGTTAATGGTAAGTTTCTTAACTACATGCAGTGAAAAATCTAACAAGACATTTTATTTAAAATACTATTCAATTGAAATGTACAGTTGTAGTGAAAATGTATAAAATCATTTTATAATTTAGAGTGAAAAATAAATGTAATTTCCATCTATAAAACGTAAAATAGTTTTTTTTATTTTTATACCTTATTTTTTAACCATAAATTTCACTTTTTTTGTTTTTGTTTACAGTGTATAACAAAAATGATTAAATTCTAAACAAACAATCCATTTCAATGTGATATTTGTCAGAAATTTTTAAACATCTGCTTTTAAAAACATCTGTTAAAGAATATTATGAATAAAATGTTTGCCTAGTGAGCCGGTCTGTCTAGTGAAACGGCTTTCATGAGACTCACCCTGCTAATGAAAAGCACTACTGGTTGTTGTATTTGCTTAACCACCAATTCCCTCCAAAAATGCATGTTTATTTGGCACAGAATGGATCTGCAAGGAAAAAACAATGGGTAAAATCATGATTGATCCACACAGCTGTTCTGAAGTTGTTTATAGCATCACACTGTCAAACAGCAGATGATATTTCGCATGTACACACACACAGCTGCTCGATTTTGATCATTAGAAACTTTATTGAATTAAAAGTGGAGACAGCATTTGAGCTAACTCAGCAGTGTAGAAGCACGCCTTCAGCTCAATTTACGTGACAAAATTCATCTGGCGTCTATCCGCTTAACACTTGGACTCATACTGATTATTGACATGAACAAAAACCCAAAATCGCAATATACAAACACGCACACATTATCATCTACCCCTTTGGAAAAATTCAGCATCCAGAAATGAAAGAATGTGCACCGAACACAGCGAGAATGGAACCCATGCAAGCTTCACACGCCCCTGCGCTGCGGCGAGGAGATTCAAATCAGGGTTTGTTAGGGGTTACAGCGGAGAGCGGTTGTCAACGTGGGTATAAAGAACCGAAACTTCCCAGCAGCTCTTGTATTCACAGTCCGGGTTTGTCCGTGCGGAAACCCGAGTCTAGGTGCCCACAATGTTGGGGTCGTGTGCTGAGTCCGGCAGTGGAGAATCATGGCAGTGGTACAGAAAGCAGTTTCCCCAGCAGCTGTAGCAGATGAGAAACAATGCTGCCAGGAAGACTAAGGCACAAATGGTACACGGCTTCCTCTCCAACAGGAAGCTGAGCAGGTAGAAGCCCATGAACATGGAGTGGTTGAACCACAGGGCCGGATTTAAGGGTTTGGGGATCAGGAGGACCGGGAGTAACCACTGGAGGCAGTACATGCTCTCTGTATGTTGGGCCGCCTAGTATGAGCTCAGATGTCCGACGTGACGCTACACAATCACAAATCCCTTGTGTATCTGCGAGGGATTAGACAGGCGTCCAAATACCAGGCAAGGCCTTTGGAAAAGGAGAGAGAAAAATGAAACCATTTAATACGCACAATTCCTAGCTTGACTTACACCACCGTATAAGGCACCGAAGTCAAAGCATGTGTGCATTTTAAGATATTGTGCTATTTTTAGTTGCTGGCCTTGAATTCTACATGACAACAGGATAACTTCAACCTACAATACATGAAAGCACCATTTTTTAAGTCATATTTGACTAGTTAAACACTCAATTTCAATAAATGTTTCATAAGAGGAAGATTTAATAGACATTAATCTGATACTGGAACTTTTAGGCTATTTTAATAACTTTAATAATTTTATATTTTAATCAACCATGCTTAGTGGTGTTAAAGTATATAAAAAACATACAGATTTCTAATTTTCTAAGATTTTCTAAGAAAATAATAAAATGTCCCCTTTTTGACTGGCATTTCTTACTCCGTTTATATTAATAATAGTCAACAAACCACAAATAAAGGTAAAAATTTGGTAATGTGTGACAATTAATTATGGACATGGCCAATATTTCAGCTTGTGTTTAGATTGTTTTTACACTGCACACCTCTAAACATTTTAAATGTATGCTAAATAGTGCGAATCTAGCCTAAATATTCCTTGCTTATTAATCGGACTATTCAACATTTAGGCTACGTTTTTTTTATAACCTTGCCTACATTTAAAACGTGTATAGGTGTGCATACTATAAAAAAAAATAGTAAAACATTTAGATATCTAATAAAAACTGTCGGTTTTAGGAAAATAATAAAGTTTCCCCATTTAGACTGACACTGCGTAGTGCGTACACGGCTCACACAAATGATCGAGAATAAACAACAAATGAGAAAGAACTTCAGTACTTAGTTTGACATTACAATTAAGAACATTTTCAATATTTCTGATTGTGGTTCGATTTTTTTTTAGTACTTGCACACCCCTAAACATTTTAAATGTATGCTGAATTTCCCTATTTACACTGACGTCCCTTAACGTTACATTGTATACACGAATGATCGACAACAAACAACAAAAGAGATAGAAATCTAGCAATAAGTGTGACATTATAAATAATTATGGACATTCTACTTTTCAGCTTGTGTTTTTTTTTAATTAAGACATGAACAATAAAAACATTGTGATGTTAGCGTGTTGGCTAACCGGATATCTAGCATGCGTTAGCACGTGGCTATGTGTTAGCACGAAAATAAACCTTCCGATCACATGTATGAAAACATATGATCGTGGCAGTCTCAAATAAGCTAGCTTTAAAGCTCAAAAAGACAGAAATAATCACGTTCAGACCTGCCATTCTTTAAATTCAATCCTGATCTCGCATATAAGCCGTCGCCATTGAATTCTTCAGGTGATTGCGTAGATTTGTGGAACTCTAAGGACCCAACCGACGACGACCCGTGTCCCGCAGATGCCTGATTAAAATTCATGTACTGTTAATTAATTTGCGAAAGATGTAAATGATCAAAGATTAATGTTTAGTCATACAATTATTCCTCAATTTGTTTATTGCATATGTGCACTGCCTTTCATCAAAGTATTGTGCTGGTATCATGGTACTGGTATTGGATTGTATGCATGTACTGTGTTATTTACATGGTTCTCCATTTCCATTTATGTGTAAAATGTTAGTTTTTACGACCAAAATTTCCATGTTACTTTTTATATCAGCCTTGCCCACCAGATCCATTTAGCATACTACTACTAAACTGAATGGTGTTTGTCAGTAATGTAGTTGTACTTAATGCAATTGCAAGGTTGAAAGAAAGAAAAGTGTGTATCTTTGGTAAGAATGCATAGTATTTCTAATGTGTTTTGCTTACATACCCATACTGACATTTATGCCCTTGGTCCACCACCTGGTTTTTAGTGCTTAAGGAGACTGTTTGTTCTTCCCACACCATTCAAACTGATGGGCACTAATTAGAAAAGCTTTAAGAAATTTAATAGGCTACTTGTATTTGTAAAAGTTACATACAACTGAAATATTATTATTTATCTGCCCGGATAGCAGATGAAGCATAGGCATTATCTCCCTATGGCACACTCTTGGTAACATCAATGTCAAGGTACAAGGAGGAAAAGCAGTGCAATTATTATTTTGTTGGAAAGATGGATGAACAGACAGCAGTCTTTTCTGAACCAATTAATAAATAATACACAGTTCATGTTTAAACTCCAGCACTAGATTTCAATAGATTCTAATAATTCTCATGCATGATTATATAATTGAATTAATAAATTAACAAACAGAATAAAAACACCAACAGCCCTGAAAGCATGTAAAATCAAATTCCAATATTCCAATGTTTAATATTTAATTAAAATTTACGCACAATACAAACACCACTGAAGCTGATCTAATGCATACTAAATGTGCACTTCATAACTAACCCATACATAAACAACGCAATGTGTGCTTCGACAGCAGTGGGCTGTGGTATTGATGATGAATAATCGGATGTGTTGTTGCATTCGCGTTTAATTCTGAAAAATTATAGCGTTTCCATCGCGCATGGCTAAATCTCTCCTCGAGATCTCCGTGGAAAAGGTCTTTCTGACTGCAGCATCCCGCCGTTACTATGATATCTGTGGAGCGATCGCGCCTGAAGGTAAGCTTGCCTTCTCGTACCAATAACATTAACCAAGCGAAAAACATACTAGCGGGCGCTTAATGGTGCGTGACGCGCTACATTTGTATTTTAATTACGCTGGTTGTTAAATATTCAAAGAAAAACATAAAACGCATGAGGTGTCACAAGGTCAGATTTGAAACTATAAACGCACATAACGCGCAAATGTGAGCTTGCACGGATAAAGTCGATACGTTGCCTAGTTCTTATCGTTCTTATGAAATGCGGTTTTACGCGTAGGGTGAAGTCAGGTAAAACGGGCCACTCTCTGGTAAATCATATCGGAGGGGCATAAAGATGTCTCTGCACATCGTCCAGATTGTTGTTTGTGTGTTATGGGCTCTTTTATCAGTATTCGTTACAAATATGGCACGAAAAAGCCCAAGAGCTATTGAAATGTCAGATGTCTTCATCTGTTGTCAACACTGCAGATGCACATGTGTTCAGGTAAAACGGGCCAGATAATCTGTACAATCATCATTTTGAACAAAGAAAGAAATGCTGTTGTAATTTATAGCAATTTATCATTTTATTTATGTCATGGCATTACAAGAAATGTTCAAATGTGCGTGGCGGGAGGCTTGAGAGAGGTTACACATCTGGGCTTGTGAGCTTTAAATTGTCATTTTGAACGTATAAAAGTTGAAATTGACCTGTAAACGCTTGGTTTGTAGGCGTCTACATGACAAGTGAAAAATACGTGCTCTAGCGCGTGTAATCTAGGTTTATCATTATATAAAGGCTTGAACGCATTGTTTAATGCATATATTTGTAAGAAAATAAAATAATAAATCCACTCCGCCCATTTATTTAGTTTTTGACGTATTATTTGGAGGAGGTTTAGGGAGGCGGGCGTGGAAACCATTTAAATTTAAATTTGAGAAAATGTCAAATGTTCAGGTCTTATAGGCTATACATAAATTGTTTATGATACATTACTTTTGGATCTCCAGTAGGTTTTTAAAATATATATAAAAATATGACCGTATAGTTGATCAATTTACCCACCATAACTTAATAACTTAACATGTTAAGTATTATTGTGACAGCTGTTTAAAATAGTTTGCAGTGATTGGATGTTAATTACATTCAGTGATATTATTTAATACATTAATGAAACTACTAGATCAATAACATTAGAAAGTTCAGCTAGAACCATCATTATGCTGCTAATGGGACATTTGAATCCTTTAATGTAAACACACATAAAATCCTGTAAGATCATTAAAATATCCAAGCCAAGCACTTACAGAACACTTACTGCAGGGACAATCCCCTGGAGCTACTTGGGCTTATATCCCTCACTCAAGGGCACAATGTGTAGATGGTGACTGCTCTTGCATTGGCCTCTGCAGAATCTAACCTGTAAAGCTCAAGTTTTATTTGACCACAGTGCCACACCTCCCAACTTTGACATGTTTCCAAAGAGAAAAAGGCTCCAAATTGAATGTCAAACCATAAGCAATGTGAATGCCTACTTCTGTTGTTACTACACAGGCTTTTGGTTTGGATGTAACAATACCAATTTGATAACTTCTGTCTTGGTCTGAAGATAACCTGTAGCGAATCAGCTCAAAGGGGAAATATGAATAATTAGGTTCTATCATAAGCCTGCATAAAACAGTATACAATATAAAATACAATATACAAGGACAGTAACAACATACACAATGACCTGAAGGATATGCGTGTTCATTCAAAGAAAGGTTTTCCTATGAATTAATTCGAGAAGAGTCAATTTTTACTGTGCATTGTGTATTTCCTATGGAAAATGTAGTGAAAGAGAGAACTCTCAACATGCCATTAGGTCGTAAAGTGTATCTGGTCTAGCAAAAGGTGCCGTGGTTGCCATGGTGACCAGGGGCCTGGTATCGTTCGCAGACATCCTCGCACCCAGTATGTTTATTGGGTGAGGGGTCTGTGACTATTTGTTAATCTAATGAATAACTGATTTGTTAAATCTAATG